GGTGTGGCATCAGCAGTTGCAGTGCACGGGCTTAGTTACTCTGTGGCATGTGGGATTTTAGTTCCCCAACCAGGGATTGAACCCATGTCCCCTGCATTGCAAGGCAGGTTCTCGTCCACAGGGCCACCAGGGAAGTCCCCTAGGGCTATGATTTTTATGCAAAATATCCAGACTCTGAAAATACTTCATCACTGTGGTATACATGATCACATAAATGTTTACTTGCACCTTGCTTTGTTCAAAAATGCTTAAATATGAAACCTAAATTATAACCTGTATTCAAAGATTTGTACATAAAAATAATGCAGCTTATGAAGAGCTTTTCACTTTTTCCTGCTTGGATGTTTAGAATGACATTCAAATATACATTCAGAAACACACAGGCCTGGTGCTATGGCTGTTTAAGTACCCCATTGATTTTAATGACTTTCATGTATCTCTCCATCCAAATCAAAGTGCTTACCCTGAACCTTGCTAACTGAAACAACTGAGTTAGTTTTAGTGTTTATCTCAATATTCTGTAATGAAAGGACTGGAAGATGGGGCAGTGGGAGGTGGCAGTGGACAGAGACTTTTTCTTTGTGCAACTTGCACTGGAATCACGAGGTGTTTCTGATCCGCTGCCCATCTCAGCTCGTCTCAGAAGTTTCTCCAGCGCTCTCCCATCATTCCTTCTAAGTTTCTGTACACATATTCGCAAGGCCTCTCTCATCGCACTCACAATCTCTCCTCATCTCGACAGTTCTTTCCTAAAGGACTATCAGTTGATTATCAGTGAAATAACTGAGTCATAAATAACTACAGAAAAATTTGTAAAATGATAATTTAGCTTCAAAGTTACCAGTCCCAATTTTCTTATGCATAAGTGGTTCATGAAGTTATTTTATTAAGCACTTCCCTATGCTCAGAGTGTATGTGCTTAACTAGGGAAGTCTTCCTGGTTGCACAGAACCATTCTGATTTAAGTAGACCCAATTATTACCATGGAAGTATTTACTGAGAGCTGGGCTGGACAGCCATTGTACAGTCTGATCTGGCAAATACACAGAAATTGCACTCCAGATTACACAGCAAGGCACTAATGACCCAAGTGAAACTCCAGGGGCACCTTAGGTAGATGCAGTACAGAGAATTAAGGAAGGAAATCATTAGTCACAATTGCAGAAACTAGCCAAATACAAAGTGAAAAAAAATGCATGCAGCCTATTTCCTGCAGAGTTCAGGGAGCCTTGGTAACAGAAAATGCAAAAACACAAGAGAAATGCAAAAGAGAAACATGATTTCCACAAATAGATAAGAAAGGGACTGATCTCAATTTCAAATTACAAAAACAATTTTATTTAATTTATGTTCTGTTCCTATGTACTACATAGCCAAATAACATTAAGACGTATCATGAATTTACACTATGACAGATCAACTTTCAAGCATTTTCTGGACAGTCTTGGAGGTTTTGCCAGCACTGACAAAATCTGAACATATACAGTAAGAGGAAAGAAGCAGCAAAAGGAAATCTAAGTGACCACATAAGGCATTGAGTTTTAACCCCACAAAAAATATTCATTATAATCATATGGGAGAGTGAACAATGTTCAGCAAAAAGCAAACTTATACCATATCCAAAACCATGCATAGGAACTGTTATTTAACAGGACCAAAAAACTGCTTGAAGTTATATACCCCTTTTTAAGGTCTTCTAATTAAAAAAAAAAAAATTCCTTAGCGTGGGAGGAGAGCTTCTCTCCTCCCCGTCTTCCCAAAATGAATTTAAGCATGTTACCTTTATCAGTGAAAGTTTCTGAGAAGATGGAGTAAGAGTGGATAGCTGTTTGAAAGACTAGTATGAAATTGTATTAGAAGCATGTCACTGAGGCCTAAATCTGAAAAATCAATGGCAGGTCTGAGACTGTCCAAGTTTTCTTAGAATGTGTCTTGAGTAGACAGTAAAAAAAAAAATGAGAAAATCTTACAGACCCTTGAGGCATTCCCCTCACTAATAACTGTGCTATTTTGCTATGGAACCCTACCTACCCTGAGTTATTGAGATCCTACCAAAAATGTGAACTGCTTGAATAGCATTATCACATTCAAGATTCATAGGAGAATGCAAACTGAATCAATTTAATTTCTAAACACAAATTTAAGTTGTCTTGAAGTTTATCTTATCTCTTTACTACTAAATACTGCAGTTTCCATAAAGATGGATCACTGTTTAAGTATAATAAATAAATCACTACTACCGATCAGGTATTTGCTATGAAATCCCATGGACAGAGGAACCTAGAGGGCTACAGTCCATGGAGTGGCAAAGAGTCAGACACGGCTGGGTGACTAACACTACACTACATTAGAGAGTAAAACACTACTTAAAAAATGAACTTTACTTAGAATTAGGAACATAAACCACAGCAAAACTCTTAGGGGGAATGGTAACAACAAATGTAAATATTTTTTTCTTCCCTTTCTTATAACAGAAATCATAAGATAGTATGTTGCAAAAACGTGAACTTTGTTTATCCCCAGTAACTCACGGAATACTTCAGGTTGCTAAGCCCCTCTCTGTAAAGATGGCTTCAGAGGCAGAGAAGGAGGAACCTATAAATGAACAGAATACTCACAGCAGGCTTATTTTCCAAGCCTTTCAGAAAAAGTAGTGCCTGCCCTTGGGGTGCTATGGAAATTGTTAGAACTCATTGCACTAACTACATGGGAAACCTAAGGCAAGGGAAAGGTGGGTGAACAATCAGAAAATTTACCAGTGTAAATAACAGGTTTCACGGAATCAAGAACATTTATGTTAAAAACCATTGTACTAAAAACAAAACAAAGTGAGTGAAAACCCAACAAATAACTAGCTTTCTGAGGTGTGGTCTTTTTAGGTGAGTTCCACTAGGATATATACTTAGATGCTGTTTCAACCGGATCATCCACCAACAACTGATCTATACTTAACTACCAAAACTGACCAAAAAGCATACTCACCAAGGGTGTCCAGTAGCCATAGGACTTGAGTACATATGATGCTTTTATATTTACATAGCAGTTTCTCATGAATCTTATAGAAGTTGGAGAAATAGAGCTAGTTGTTCCTTTTTAGCAAGAGCACTTGTAAAAATACGAAAAGGATTAGATAAATACCCCTTTTAACACTGAGTTTGATTCATTAAAGAACTTTAGAAAAGTCAGCAGTTCATTTACCTGAGTTTCCCATTTAACAGCTAAAGAGTAATTAAATGCTTTTTACTTAAGAATGTGAACAAAAATATACAATATTAAAGGATCAAGTTGGAAAATTAAGACTCAAGATGATGTTTGAACATTTTGAATTTTTATAAAATCTAACAAGCATCTATGAATTTTCCTTCCTAGTTAAACCATAAACTCAGAACTATACTGATTTACTGGATGTTATTTAGAACTTAGGTCAGGGTCAACCTGTGAAATCATTAGGAAGTAAATAAAATTATTTTGACATTTTGAGCAAGTTGTCACAAAGACTAATTACTAGTGATTTACTTCAGTTATGAACCCATGGGAGATTATAAGTTAACACCAGATAAAGATTTCAGCATAAATGTGATGTTTAACCTGAATAGATCCCTTTTTAAGGGTGATATAGAAAACAACTATAAATTTTATCCAGAAAAATAATGCACCCAGTGTCTTAACAGCAGTTATCAAAGCTCACCTTTCAACAGGGGTATTCTTGTCATGCTCAGTGATGGACAATCTTCCAGGTTTGTTTGTTTGTTTGTTTAAAACAGGTAGTGCTATGTCTCTAAATACAACTCATGGTTCATAATCAAGATCCTAAAAACATACTAGAATTGAATATTTTATCAAAGAAGTAAAACCATGTTGCTATTTGAAACATGTTTCAATTCCAGGTGGAAATAAACCAGCTATACAAAATCACCATTCTAACACTTAAACATAGAGCAGAAACAGCAAAGCACTTTGGTCTACATGATTAAATAATTAAATAAATGAAAAGCATCTCTTCCCCAAATCCTTTACCCCATGTTGTATCATAATGTTTAAAACACAACTGAGGTACACGTATCTGCTGAGTAGTTTTGTAGAGCTGTGTCCCGTGTATGACTCAAAGTGTCATTAAGCAAATTTACCAGGATCAAGGAGTAAATTGTAAAACCAGCATTTTGAAACCCAAACCATCTTCCTACTTTTTTTTTGTTAGGTCACAAAACCATCTTAGATCAGACTAGGGTTCTGAAAACAGTGAGTATGAAGTTGGAGCATGAAACAAAATTCCCATGATAAGACAGCACTGGCCCTGGATTGAGGGCACAAATAGTGTTTTCATTTTCCTGTTCTATACAGTTTAATAGTCAGTGAAAACTTTTGCCCAAGACCTATACATTTTGGGCTTCCCTGGGGGCTAAGCTGATAAAGAATCCGCCTGCAATGTGGGAGACCTGGGTTTGATCACGGGTTGGTAAGATCCTCTGGGAAAGGGAATGGCTACCCACTCTAGTATTCTGGCCTGGAGAATTCCATGGACTGTATAGTCCATGGGGTCAAAAGAGTCAGACACGACTGAGCTTTCACTTTCACACTATGTTGGATTTTTTAGTATAGAGATAAAATAAAAGCTCTGCTGATTCTAAGTTATATCCACTCAGCTATTTTTTCACACTTAAAAAAATAAAGATATAGAATTATTTTAGATGAGATAAACTTTTTTAAGCCAAAGAGAACAGACAGAGTTTCTGTGCTTGCATCACTAGCATTCAGAGCAAGGGCAGACTTGAGAGAGATTGATTAATATATATATATGTATACATTGATTAGTTTGTGTTACAGGCAGAATTTGAATAGAGGTCACCACTGCCACACTGCCCAGAGGGACCCGTGTGCCTGACGAGTGCACCAGCTCTTTAGCAGGGTGCTTTAGTAGTACTTTTTTTTCCATCGGATGTATTCACATATCAAGATATCAAAGATGATTAAATTACTAAAAAGCAGGCTTCTGATTCTGATTTTTAAATTTAATTAGCTATTTTAATTAAAATAAATTAGCTTTTCTAAGGTTGTTGACCAGAACTACATAACAACATTGATATTAAAGGGGAGGAGCTTCTGCATTTCCTTTTTCACTGAAGGAAAATATTTTCAGCATTTAAAAAATGTTGGTAAAAATGTAAATCAGTTAAATTATAAATGACCAATCCAACCAAGCTGACCATGGAAGATTATCGTCCTTACTCACAAAATCCTTGCCTAATGATAAATAACTGGCAGGTATGTGAAAGAAAACAATTTAGAGTTCTGCTGGAGGCAAGGGGAAATTTTGAAAATAATAGTCCATGACAATGCACTTATGTGAGCTTATACTCCAGAGAAGTTTTCTGTACAATGAAATACTTGACCAATGCAGAAGGCAGCTGGTATTAAAATAACTAGCAGAGATTCCTTGGTACACATACAATGAAAACAAAAATAAAGACCCTGTACAGATGTAAACAAGCTAAAAAATGACCTTGGCAAAGTATCTTCATCGATTTAAAAAATACCAAAAACATGCAACTTAAAATTCCCTTCCTTTTACAAGAATTTACCAAAAAACCAAAACAAGCAAGCAAGCAAGCAAACAAAAAAAACGAACAAAAACAGGTGGAACCATCTGTCTCTGTCAGTAGAAAACAATAATAGATACATTAGGTTCCAGGACAAATAAACCTTTAAAATACTAATATTGAAAAAATACAATTAAATTTTTATTAAAAAATACATACTCCTTACTCATTCTTTGTGTACATTTTGTTTTGTGCGAAAAAGAAGAAAAACAATAATAAAGTAGGAAAGGCATCAAGACTACCTAGTTATTTATACTGTATTTGGTAGAAGCATGTTTTAGTCAAACTTTAAACAAAATAAGTTATTCTGTTTTCATTTGCTCCCGGACATCAGAAGGCAGGGTTTCAAACAGAGCATCTTCTACAACTAAACCAGCTCGCTTCAAAGCCCGACAGTCACCCAGTTCAGGAGGGAGGATTTCAAAGTGATTGCCTTTAACATCTAAATAGGAAAGAAATAACAAATTTCCAATTTTGGGGGAAAGTACTGATAGGCTGTTTTTCCCAATCTTCAGAGTTTTGAGTTTCTTACAGAAGTAGAGTTCATCTGGAAGGCTCTCCACTTTGTTACAAGTGATGGAAAAATACTGTAAACTTTGTAGAACTCCGATCTCAGGTGGGATAAATCGAATGTCATTGTAGGACAAGTCCAGGTAACGGATTTTGTTGCATAGGAAGAGGTGGGAAGGCAGCACCTCGATTTTATTGTGACTGAAGGACAGGCGCTCCAGGCTGGTGAGTTTCTTGATATGCTCTGGGATGTAGGTGATGCTGTTATGCCACAGTTTTAGTACTGTCAACTTTCTCAAGTGCTGGAAGCTAACGATCTCTTCTATGGATTTCAGATTATTTTCCTTGAGGTCTAGTTCCTGGAGGCTGAGCAGGCTGAATACGGCGTGAGGGATGCGCTCCAGGTCACAGTGGACCAGCTCCAGTTCTGTCAGATTGGTCATCTTCTTCAGGTTGTTGAGCATCACCAGCTTGGTGCCATCGTTGTGTATGCACATCTTCTGGAGATGGCTGGAAACATCAACCACTGCCTGGGGGATTTTGGAAACGTTGCTTTTGATCGAGAGAATTTTAAGGCTTTTGAGATCCCGCAGAGACTCAAGGGTGACATTTCTGGAAATATCATGACTTAGAGAGCCAACCAGGTAAAGCTCCTCCAGGTTCCGGAGGCCATACATCCAGGGGGGCAGCTCCCTCATGTCATCAAACTTGACGCTCAAGACCTTGAGATTCTCCTTCAGGAAAGACAACGCCGCGCTGTGGATTTTAACTGAGCACTGGTGTAAAGAGAGCTCCTGGAGATTGTCTAGCTGCGCGACAGTGGCTGGTATCATGACGTTCTTAATGATTTCAAGTTTTAGGGACTGCAACTCTGTGATTTCAAAAACAGTGTCTGGAAGGCCAGAGAGCATGATGAGAGGCAGTTCCAAACGGTTATGGGCATTTGTCTGCAGCTTCTGCCTCAGTTTATCTGGAGTCCACTCATTATTTAAGTTCAGCTGCTTTAATTTGTTTTCACTCACCTCAGATAGGAACACCGCGAATCTCTTGGAATACAGAGGGTCATACTGATCAATCATATGAAGCATAAAAGCAAAGTCATTTTTCACATCTGGAATATCATCAATTCCAGTCTCCTGCCGGACATACTCAAAAGAGTACTCCTTCAGAGAACGGTAGAACAGCCAGTATAATGTATAAAGGCACGTCAATCCGTAGATACTTACAAAGCACAGGTAGCAAAAGGAGAGTTTTGAAAACAAGTGTGCCATGGTATGATTGCAAGAAAAGTTTTTATATCCAGTCATGTCCTGAATGTCAACATTACAGTCGACTGTAAACTGGACTTTGGAAACCAGGGCACTATTATATGCAATGATGATTAGGAATTTTATAACCTTAAGTACAGTCTGACGAACATACATGGCATACAGTATATCACCCTCTTCTACGTGCAGCCGGAACTTCTTCACCTTCTCAAATAAAGCTTTTGCCTGCTCACCCTCCTTCTTATCCAGAGCCCCTGCAGTGGATTTGTCAACCACAAACTTCTCAGGAATTGACTTCAAAGATTGAGAGTTGACCAGACTGCCTTCTGGACCAGACTGGGTGGTGTTGGACCTGCTCATGTTGTTCTTCCTGCTGTCCTTCTCTTCCGAGTCCTCCCCAGACACTTCAGATAAGGCTCGTGTGGTCCAGGGAGAGTCAAAACACTTCCCCAGGATTGAGATGAAATGTTCTATTTTGGAGCTGGAGCCAGGGAACTTGAACCAAAAGTTGCTGCAGAGCATGAAGACCAGGGTATGAATGAGGACAAGGTATGGGAAATACTTGGCGTACCAGTGGAGGGCTCGCTCATAGCACATCTGGTTAATGAAGCTGTATTGCTGAAGGTCCAAATCTGTCTTCAGCCCTTTCATTTCCACAGTGACTGGGTTAGAAGGAGATGGTTTTGGTGGAGGCAGTGGGGTGGTACTGGCCACTGCTTGAGAGACATTTGAAACGGAAGAGTGGTTCTGAGAAGGCTGTACTCTTTTCGGAAGGCAGATTATCTTGTCTTGCATGACCTGAAACACAGAAATAATATTTTCAAATTATATTACTCAAAGAGCTTTCATAATGTCATTAGTGAGAAGGAAAGCAGCAATAACATCCAATAAAAGTCCATTTCCTTTGCCTGGAGAATACAATGTTCAATTCCAACACCGAGATTTTTATTCTTAGCCCACAGGTTGGGAAAATGAAATGTATATCTTTGTTTGCCACATCTAACTCAAGACACAAAATGGAGCAGTTTTGTCAGGACACAGAACAGTTCATGACAAAATAAATATTTGAAGAACGTTTCACATATTTAAAAAATCTTGCATTTCTTCTTTCACTGAAGCCTTGGGGAATCAGTCATTGGTCTGGGAAGTACATCCTCTTATCAGATTCCGTCTTGAATTGGATGGCTCCCAACATTGTATTAGTTTCTGTATGAGAAGTAAAGGGATTAAAAGGAGGAAATACAGGAGAAATTCCTGTCTTTATAATTTCCTCTTTTCTTTCTACCCATATCCTAGTCATGCATAGATGAATATGACTATTTTAATAAAATGGGAATTTATTATGCTTTTGTAAGAACTATTTATTCAGAGAGAGATGAAAGACTATAGAAATGTTTGATAGTAAAATAGTTATGTCTAAACTTGCTGCTTTTCACACAAAATATTACATCAACTTCTCTTCCCCTACTAATGCTTCAGTTTGTTGAAAATAATATGAAGCCCTAAGAATGTCCAGCAGTCTCATAAGATTGTAATTTCAGTAAGAGAGAACACTTTCTTCCCAAAGATTAGATAGGATGAGGCAAAATACACTTGGATCAACCTGGAGGAATCATCTCCAGGAAGAAGTACATGAACGTGTACACTGAGTCTATTACAAAGTGAACTGTTATGGCATGAGGAATATGACCACAAGCTGGTGACGGGGGAGATACAGCCCCCTAGAGAGAAGTGTTGTACAAGGTTTGATGCAGTGGAGCATCCAGCCCTTAGTTGAGTATCTGATATATAGGAGACTGCCAGTATGTATTTGCTGAGAAAGTGGATGAATCTAGAACTGACTCTGACATAGTCCTTCCAATTCAGAGCTGCATAGTGCTGGGCGTGGATCTCTCCTAGGGATAAAGGACAGCGATTACAGTGATGACAGCAACAAACCTGCTGTTGTGTTTAATATGTAATCTTATTCAATAATGTCAAAGATATTAATTATTTTAATTGTCACCTTAACATGATGAGGCGGATTACCCTTTTTACCCCAATTTCACAGATGAGGAGACGAAGGCACAGAAAGTTTAGGCAACTTGCTTAGTGTCTTCTAGCCTAGGCCACTTGGACCCAGAACCCACATTCTTATTTTATTTTACTGAGTTTCTAGGATTAAACCGAAAAGATCTCAATTTTACTTCATCCTAAGTAACAAATTACCTTTCATAAGTTATACATGTTTTATGGGAAAAGCTTATCTCTTCCCATATCCTATGTGGATAACAATGAAAGAATGAGGTTGGGGGAAGAGAGGAAGTTTTATTTATAAAGATATATAAACGCTGTAGACCAGAATATGTATCAGGGGCTACTATTTACTATGTAAATCAGAAGAAGGCAGGAAAGAAAAACAAATGTGATTGCATTCAAAGGGTTTGGTGACTACAGTGGTGTGAGAATGTTTGAGAATGTCTTCAAACAAACATTTGAATCACTTACCTGTATCAGAGGAAAAAAATGTTAAACATGTCCATATTTGTGGGCATATATATGTCTATTTATGGGCTTCCCTTGTAGACTTGGCTGGTAAAGAATCTGCTTGCAGTGAGGGAGACCTGGGTTCAATCCCTGGGTTAGGAAGATCCCCTGGAGAAGGGAAAGGCTACCCACTCCAGTATTCTGGCCTGGAGAATTCCATGGACTGATAGTCCACGGGGTTACAAAGAGTTGGACACAACTGAGTGGCTTTCACTCACTCACATATGTCTATTTATAATTACAACCATAAAGTACTGCCAATCCCTCAGCCAAATATTAGAAAGCTTATTTTTCCTTTAAGTTTAAAATAAAGTTTTCATTTTAATCTCATATTTCAATAGGGCATCCTTTATATTTCTTGGGGTCAAGCACTATACCATGGAAACCCCTGGAACAGAAAATAGTAGGAGAAGGCCTAGATGGATGTTAGAGTCTATCCTGCAGAATATCAAACAGAAAAAGAAATTCAGTGGCTGGGGTCATGTTCTAGATGTTTTCCCGATTGTAGTCTTATTTAATGCTCCAATTATCTGTGAAGCTTCAATAATCCGGAGAAGGAAATGGCAACCCACTTCAGTATTCTTGCCTGGAAAATCCCATGGACAGAGGAGCCTGGCGGGCTACAGTTGATGAAGTTGCAAAGAGTCGGACATAACTGAGCGACTGAGTGCATCTGTGAAGCAGGCAGAAGGTGGGGGCTAGAGACCAGTATGGACAGAAATACTTCCCCAGCACCTTCTCCAAGAGTGACACCTTTGAGCTAGCATGTTAGTGCGGTGCTGTGCTCAGTTGTGTCTGATTTTTTGCAACCTCATGGACTATAGTCCATCAGGCTCCTCTGTGTATGGAATTTTCCCGGCAAGTATACTAGAGTTGGTTGTCATTTCTTTCTCCAAGTATGTTAATACGACATTGTTAATGATGTGATGAAAACAGAGATGCACTGATGTGGAAGCAAGATCAGCCAGAAGGTAAAAAGGAAAGTAGGTCCCTTTGGAGGTTCTAGGTCCCTGCCAAGCACCTAGATGGTCCCAGTACTGCCTCCTGCCCTGCCCTTCTCCAGACTTGCTCCTCATGGGGGCAGATGATGAACCCCTGGAGCCTGGCTGCTGCAGAGGGATTCAGGTTATGCCTGGCACCAGGGTGTCCAGCTGAGGGGCGAGTGTGGCCTGAAATCCTGCTTGGGCCGCCCTGGCTCAGCTGTGTGCCCTCCTGGGGTACCTCTTTATATTTAGGACAAAGGCACTTGATTGGCTGGCATCTTGCAGAGCCCAAGAGAAAACACGGTGGGGATTTAAACAGTAAAATATCCACAGGAGAGAGGAAGGAAGTTACTTTCTATGATTAGTGTAAACACTCCATCACTGAGAAGAACCGGGAGAAGCATCAATGTTTTCAAAGGTACAGTAAAAGAAAGAGAAAGAAGACAGAAAGGCTTCCTTTAAAAAAAGAAAAGGGTAAAGGGTGTTTTGTGGGATATTTGGAAATAGCAGCTTGTAAGAACTTAAAAGATTTTTTTTCAACTTTTCTGCTCTTTTGAGAAGCTTGCCTAATTAAACCTACACCTCACTTCTCTTTACCTAATCCAGAAATTTAAAGATTAGAATACAAAAGAAGCCTGAAAGAATAGCTGCAAAAAAAATTTTTAAAGGAATAATGGTAGGGTTCCAGGCTGCAGTGCAGGGCTAAGGAAGAGTGCTTAGGGTAAGAGCAGGAAGAAAGCCCCACCACCATATCCTGTTCTGCAGAACATCAAGGCTTAGACCATCACCACCAGCTTGTACCATACATGTGTCACACAGACGAGAAACCCAATGCTTTTCTGCTAGGGACAACTCTCAGGCTGCCTTTGGAGGAAAAAGCATGGAGACTAGACCTACACCTACACAGTGTGTTTATGCAGGGGGAGGGGGAGAAAGAGGGGAAAGAAATGGGGTCAAGGGGAAGAGAAAAAAATTTAAAAAGCAAGATGAACAGAAGAATCTGATCCAAGATATATCAATGTGAGAAAGTTAACTACCCTAAGAACAGATTTGAGAAGAATAATAATTATTATTATTTTTTGGCTGTGCAGCACAGTGTCTTAGTTCCCCAGCCAGGAACCATCTGCTCTGCAGTGGGAAGCCCTGAGTCTTAACCACTGGACCACCAGGGAAGTTCTGAGAATAATTCTTAAATGAAATCATCAAAGTTAAAGCAAATACCTAAGTGAGTTTCAGAATAAGGAAAAGCTGTACATAGAAGGACATGAGTCACTGAGTGCAAAAGTGAGGTGAAACTGGCAATAAAGATGGCTAAGCCACCCACGCTATCGTGGGATGAACGGGCTTGGAGGGAGGGGCAGGTCAATCAGTAGAGGAGGGGCAGAATCGAAGGAAACGGGTCAAGCAGTGTGGTAGGAGGCTGCAGTGTACACTCATTATTTCCATTTGGAGATGTAAATACCTTTCCATCTTCCCTAAACCTTTGGTAAAATCTGCTAAACACACACACACACACATACACACACACCCCTCTATTATGAATGAACTATAGAAATCACAGGCAAAAGGATCAAGTAATTTCATGCTTAGATCAAAACTGAACAGACAAGGAGATTTTGCCTGGGATGCTAAAAATCTATAATCTAAATTGTTTCCATGGAAGCAAGAACTGGAATGGTGAGAACCTAATTCTTCCAGGAGTCTTTCAGAATGCAGAGAGCTCATAGACTGGAATTTGATACAATATCCTCTATATCCCATGGAGCAGCTGACATCCAGGTAACAAAGCATATAAAATGCTCTTCAAGACTATAACTAAAGTTCCTAGAGGAATAAAAAATATACATGTGAAATTGTTCCATGACTGTCCTAATACCTAGATAATATTTCTGGAAAAGAAACACAAAGGTTGCAGTGATTGGAGAAATGGGCTCACTAAGAGCCAAATTCATGAATTCCCATTTGCAAATTATTTTCAGATAACACAACAGCTGTTTTCGGAAAAAAATTGTAGGGTAAATGAAATAAACTGCATTTCCGGATTTTGCTTTCTACAAGGTGTATTTTTAAGAGAAACAAAGTAAAGTTCAAACTTCCTTAAAAAATGAAGCAACCTATCTAAACTATGTCCTGGAATGCTGTTCTGAGCTAGAAAAAGAAATCAAATATTTAAAATCAAAATTGCCAAATTTATACCAGCAAAGATAAATTTTTTACGTGGAATATGTACACACTTGATCACATATTGAAATATCTTGCATGGTCAATGTAAATGAGGACCTTTCAATA